CAGCCTGGGTGAGAGAGCGAGACTCTGTCTCAAAAAATAAATAAATAAATAAAATAAATAAATTCAAATTCCAACATTCATATAGCTATGGGCAGTTTACTTCATCCCTCAGTGCCTCAATTTCCTCACCTATCAAATTTAGACTTATAGGCTTGTTGTGAGGATTGAGATTAAATTTAGAATAGGGCATGGCAAAAGTTGTTATTGAGAGTTGTTATTGTGTAAGAAAGAAAACCAAGGCTTAGAGAAATTAGGGACATTGAAATGAGATTCAAACTCAAATTCTCCTTATTTTGGGCCTGTTCTGTTGACTCCATCTCAGCTGCCTCTGAAAGCAATACCATGTATATTTGTATACTTGTACTAATGAATATAACTAGTTTTGATCATTAGGAACTCTGGATCTCCTCTAATTATTTATTTTTATTTTTCCCATCTCTTTCCTTTCCTTAACTTCCCACAGAGAGGACCTTAAGTGGACAGAGATTTTAGAACAGGAGAAATAAAACAAAAAGTGCTGGGGTATAGTAGGCACTCTTGGGACACAGGGAAGCCTCACAAGTAGGGGAGAGGAAGAGTAATTGATAGATCTAGAAAATAAGCCATTCTTTGGTGCCACTCAAAAACATTAGTGTACACCCTTATTTGCTACATTGATTGTGGCAGGAAGTTGTAGTAATATCTTAATTTCATCTAAAATTGATAGCAAACATCCTCCTAATTGGCCTGTAATTGGTGTATCCTTTGGATTGTGTCATTATTTAACTTGAGCCCTCTATGTATCCACTAAGATTCCAGTGAAAGTGGAGATGGGAGAGAAGAACAGATTCAATAGATACTTGGGAGAAACATTTAATTCTAACAAAGACTGTGAGTCATCAGGGCAGATACTAGTATCATTAGTCTTCTCGAAGAGAAATGATTTACAGAAAGCCATAAATGATCAAACTTGAATTCTGGGCTTTTAACTGCAAGCATAAAGATTATCCCAACACACTGTATTTTCCCCATGCAGGTAGGAGAATGCTCCAGGTGATGATCTTGGTTCATAGGCAATAGTGATGAGTGTTGGACGTTTTACTCATGAAGAGATGTTACAGATTGGGCGGGTTCCCTTTCCTGTAAATAAGGAATAATCATTAGCTTTTTAGTAATTATCTAATATTTCTATTTTATTTAGGCTATCGTTTGGGAGCAATGAGTTTAAAACCCTTTACCTACCCATTTCCAGAGACGAGATTTCTTCATGCAGGACCCAATGTGTATAAATTCAAAATCAGATATGGGAACAGTATCAGGTAATTTCAAAAGTCGGAGGGTAGCCTATGTAAACACCAGTTAGTGCTCGTGCATTCCCACAGGTCTCCTCTTCTCTATCTTCACCCGGTTCAGGAGACTAGGTCACCTCTTCTCTACCTTCACCCAGCTCAGGAGACTGGTAAAGTAGCATCTTGCAGGACTGTCTTTCCCAGTATATATATTATTCATATGAGTTTCTAAATTAGGGACAACCTTTTTTTTTTTTTAAAGAGAAGCAGATCTCTATGTTGTCTAGGCTAGTCTCAAACCCCTGACCTCAAGCAATCCTCTCACCTCTGCCTCCCCAAGTGTTGGGATTATAGGTGTGAGCCACCACACCCAGCCTAGGACAACATATCTTTGAAGCAGTGTTTCTCAAAATTTTACATCTCAGGGCCGGGCATAGTGGCTCATGGCTATAATCCCAGCACTTTGGGAGGCTGAGGTGGATGTATCACTTGAGGTCAGGAGTTCAAGACCAGCCTGGCCAACATGGTGAAACACCGTCTCTACTAAAAATACAAAAATTAGCCAGGCATGGTGGTGGGAGGCTGAGGCAGGAGAATCGCTTGAACCTGGAAGACGGAGGTTGCAGTGAGCTGAGATTGTGCCACTGCACTCCAGTCTGGGCCACAGAGTGAGACTCTGTCTCAAAAAAAAATTTTTTTTTCCATCTCAGGACTCCCTTGCAATTTTTCTTTATTTCTTTTTTTTTTTTTCCGAAGACAGGGTTTCACATGTAGTTGTATGATCACCGCAGCCTTGACCTGCTGGGCTTAAGGGTCAGCCTCCAGAGAAGCTAGGACTACAGGCATAGTGCCACCACACCAGGCTAATTTTAAAATACTTTTGGTAGAAATGAAGTCTCACTATGTTGCTCAGGCTGGTCTCAAACTCCTGGGCCCAAGGGATCCTCCCTCCTCAGCTTTCCAAAGTGTTGGGATTCCAGGCATGAGGCACCTGCACCCAACTTGCACTCTTTAAAATTATTAAGGACCCCAAAGAGCTTTTGATTAATCTGTCAATATTTGTCATAAAAATTAAAGCAAAAATTTGGCCGGGTGCACTGGCTCAGGCCTGTAATCCCAGCACTTTAGGAGACCGAGGCAGGTGAATCATGAGGTCAGGAGTTTGAGACCAGCCTGGCCAACATGGTGAAACCCTGTCTCTACTAAAAATACAAAAAATTAGCTGAGTGTAGTGGCAGGCGCCTATAATCCCAGCTAACCAGGAGGCTGAGGCAGGAAAATCGCTTGAACTCGGGAGATGGAGGTTGCAGTGAGCAGAGATGGGCAGGCGCACTGCACTCCAGCCCAAGCAACAGTGTGAAACTCTGTCTCAAAAAAAAAAAAAAAAAAAAAAGCAAAAATTTAAAAGTTTATTAATTTAAGAATAATATATGTAACAAATATGATATTATTAAAGTTATATTTAGTGAACCGGGCGGGCATGATGGGTCACGCCTGTAATATCAGCTACTCAGGAGGCTGAGGCACGAGAATCACTTGAAGCCGGGAGTTGGAGGTTGCAGTGAGCTGAGATCATGCCACTGCACTCCAGACTGCCCGACAGAGTTAACCTCCATCTCAAAAATAAATAAGTAAAATAAAATTATATTTAAAAATTGAGAAGATTGGCATTATTTACATTCCTGGGATTTACCCCAGGGGTACCAGGGTGGTTTCAGCATGTAAAAACAATCAGGCTGGGAGCAGTAGCTCACACCTGTAATCCCAGCACTTTGGCAGGCCGAGGTGAATAGATGACTTGAGGTTAGGAGTTCAAGACCAGCCTGGCCAACATGGCAAAACCCCATCTATACTAAAATTACAAAAAAGTAGCTGGGTGTGGTGGCATGCACCTGTAGTCCCAGCTATTCAGGAGGCTGAGGCAGGAGAATCGCTTGAACCCGGGAGGCGGAGGTTGCAGTGAGCCGAGATCTTGCCACTGTACTGAATTTGATCAAACCCAGCACCTCACCCTTTCATGATAAAAACACTCAATTTAAAAACACACACACGGCCGGGCGCGGTGGCTCAAGCCTGTAATCCCAGCACTTTGGGAGGCCGAGGCGGATGGATCACGAGGTCAGGAGATCGAGACTATCCTGACTAACATGGTGAAACCCCGTCTCTACTAAAAATACAAAAAACTAGCCGGGCGTGGTGGTGGGCGCCTGTAGTCTCAGCTACTTGGGAGGCTGAGGCG